GGGGGGGGGGGGGTGGATTGAGGGCCGGTGTTTTGTTTTTTAGTGGTTTTTTTTGCAGTCCCAGCATGGACTTACTCTGTTTATGTATTTTTTTTGTTGTTTTTATTTTAACTATAGGCCCCCCTGCTTGGGAACAACAAGAATTAAAGTTAATAAAGTGTGGCCCTAATTAATCCAACACTTGTGTCTTGCCTCTTTACTCTGGGGTGGGGGTGGGGACAAAGGGTACAATACATGTAATGTGTTTGATTCATAGCTATCCTCCAACAACCTACTGCATAACAAGTACCCCCATGCACAGACTCCCCCCCACACCCCGATTCACAGATGCTAGCGCCAGCAGCCCCCGCCCTGGTCCTTGGAAGAATGGTCATCAACAAAACCGGTTCCTGGCATTGAAAAGGGTGGGGACCACTCGTTTAGGGCTTTAGATGCCATCATTAACACTTTGAAATCAATGCGGAAATGAATTATATAAACCAGCCATTCTCAGTGGGCGGCATTTGACTCCCTGGGGTCAACTGGCACGTTTGAAAGGGGACACAGACTGAGAAATGTGAGAAGAACAATTTACCAAGTATTAAGATTAAAAACTATTTAAAAACATTTAAACATCTGTAAGTTAATACACCGGCATTCCTGCTTACTGCTCAAAAGCCTGCTTGAAGAAGAAAATCTTTGCCTAAACAGAAGGACGGGGTGGGGGTGGCGCACAACACATTCCAAAGCCTGGGAGTAGCCACTGAGAAGCGCCTCTCTTGTGTCGTCACCAAACAAGCTTCTGAAGACGGTGGAACCAAGAGGGCCTCTCCAGATCTTAAAAACTGTGGAGGCTCATATGAGATGATACGATCCTTCAAACAGCTTGGGCCCAAGCCATGTAGGCTTTTACAGGAAATAATTAGAACTTTGAATAGGGCCTAGAAAACAACTAGCAGCCAGTGAAACTTTTGTAACAAGGGACATACATGCTTCGTATAACCAGTGCCAGTCAGCAGTCTGGCCGCATCATTTAAAACCAGCTGAGGTTTCCAACCACTCTTAAAAAGCTCCCCCCCGTACAGCATGTTGCAGTAATCCAACAAGGAAGTCACTAAGGCATGTACCACCGTGACTGGGTTAGACATCTCAATGAATGAGCACTTGGCACACCAGCTTTAACTGTGCAAATGCACTCCTGGCCACCACTGAAACCACTGCATCAAAGCTCAGGTTTGAGTCCAGGAGCTCAACCAAGCTATGAACCTGACTTTTTAGGTGAAGTGTAATCTCATCTGGTACAAGCTGAATCCCTATCCTGATTTGCCTTATGGTTGCCAGGAATGCCTCTAGCTTTTCAGTTTGTTAGGTTTCATCTAAAGATAGGCACGACTTAAGTCGTGCAGCATAATACAACTTGTGCTGCACAACAGCCGCATGTTCCCTCCAACCACTCCCTGGCTGGCTGACCCACTCACAAGCCTCCACATGTCGCCCAGGTTGTCCTCTGTTACCAGCTGCCCAGTCCAGTAAGGAGTCTGGGCTGCCCTTCCCTGCCTCCTCTGGCAGCCAACCACTCCTGGGAGAAGGCAGGAGAGTCTCCCTGTGCAGCCACATTGATTAGCTGCTGGAGGAGGCAGGGAAGGGCCATCTGAGCTCCTCCTCAGACTAAGCACCCAGTGGTAGAGGACAACCTAGATGGCATGCGGAGGCGAGTGTACTGCTTACATGTTCCTAGCTTAACAGAAGCCTGTTTGTAACATCTGAACTCTCCCAATGTCTGAGGTCCTACAGGAGTTGTATGATTGGCATTATTCAATATTACTATGAAAGTGGTTGAATTCTGTGCAGCTGCCGCAGCTTGCTGCAGTTCTCTAACACAGTGATTTTTTTCTCGTTTTGGATAATTATCACATACATTTTACATACTTTGAGGATGTATTGCTTGGCATAATGTAGGTGCCTGTTCTGTTTTGTTGTGTACTGCACAATTTGTCTGGTGCTGGTGTTTGACGATAATAAATAAAATTCAGTATATTTTAGAATGAATGAAGTTCGTACTGAGAGGAAAAGACAAACACAACGTGCAATCACAAACTTTTGGGAGTTGGGTCACAGAATTTATTGAACTGAGAGCGGAATCCACTAGATATTTATTTTGCTGTACTTTGAATAAAGGGGACAACATATATAAATGTTAATGTTTTCAGCTGGTTTTAATTAGGCAGCACTTAACCAATTAAAGGAATGAAAATGCCCACACTGCTTGTGATTGCTTCACTGTTTGAATCCGCTGTGGTAGTTGGCTGTTGCATGCGACTTTGTGCAGGCTGGTATCAGAGATACTCAGATCTGATGAACTGAGGCAAACACTAACTTTTTAAAAGTATGCCAAAGACAATTGAATATTTTATTTACAATATGGTTATTCCCATACATATACATCCACTTTGTTTGCTTTTCCAAGAAATACTGTAACCATATAAGATTCATGTTACAAATATATTCCAAATTATATTAGAAATACAAGTATCTATTGCTGTCTTCTATACAACATACGTACATTATTTAAAACTTCTTTTTCTTCATTGCCTTCCAATCTCCTTCCTGCTCAGCAAGGCTCCTGAACAGCTGTTTCACTTTTCTTTTTCTTTCCGAATCCCTGAAAATTAAAATAAAGTTGCACTGATTATTTTGAATCTAAATGCACAATGAAACATTGCACATATTTATTCTATTTAATTTATTTACCTAATTTCTATCCTGACTATTACCCAGAAGGAGATGCAAGACAATTATGTTCTACTTTTGAGACAACTGAACCCAAACCAGAATATCAGAAATCTGGAGCCACCACTTGCAGGTTTATGCTTTGACAAATAAGCTATAAATGGGTTTGTTTCATTTTTAGAACTCACAATTCTGAAAACACACACACACAAATTATTTAGCAAAGGGCTCAACCTATGTTCAATGTGAGCTGAAATATATATACTCTCCTCATCAATGATTAACAGCTTGATGGCTTTGGAACGCAAGGCAATCTTATATATCAGCCACACCATATTTATGCTTCAGTTAATAGCATGCTGAGAATACATTACCTGAATTCTTTACAAATTACCATTGATTATGGATGCTTACTCTCCTTTTAACATAACTTCCTCTAACATTGAAACTACAATATTCAAAAGGCTCTTGGGAGTTAATGTTAACACTATTTCCTAAATCCTGTGGGGCTTAGGAAACGGGTAACATAGCCGTAAAAGGGCGGCAGGATTGCACCCCTTTGATCCTGACGCCCTTTCATGCCTGCTTCAGGATCAAAGGGGTGCGGGTGTGCCGCCCTTTCACGGCTGCTTTACTCTGTGGCTTCGCAAAAGGCAGGGGAAGCGCCTGCCTTCCGTGTATAAAACAACCTTCAATTTTGTGTCTAATTATTTAAGAAAAAAGTGTAGTTTTATACACAGAAAATTATGGTATGTGATATCATATTCACAGGCAACACTACTCACACACTGTACAAATAAACACTTTGCCAAATGAAGTGTTTGTTTTTACCCAAAATTTATATTGCTACACAGAAATTGTTGTGTATAACTGATGTTAGCAGCTATGGTTTTTTTGTAATTGTCTCAAGGAAGACAATGAAAAATTACAATTATTATAAATAATAAATGCCCAACATAAAGTATGTGGAGCATAAAACAATAATGAATTACCTGTCTATGATTTCTGCAAGCTGCATTCTGGCAAGAAATTGGTTATCTTTGCGAATCTCACGAACAGCTCCTTTAAGTTCACGTTTGTGTTTATGAATCAGACGTTTTCTTTCCTGCTCTTTCTTATTACTTTCTTGTTTTCTTCCAAATTCGAGGCTGAAATTAGAAATGACATTCTTACGCACAAATTTATGCTGGACTTAGCAAAACTTCCAATACCTTTAATGTGTGAGGGGTACCTTATTTCCATTCTAATTAGTTAAAATTCATTTTAACAACAAAAAAATTAAGGAGTTATATTGAAAATCACATCATCTTAAGGTTAGAGACACAGGGCAGGTATAGTTCTACAGATTTTTTTTTCCGTGTATAAGACACATGAGATTAGAAGTCCCAACGCTTTTCTATCCCAAAATTAAGAAATCAATATTTTAAACATAAAACAGAATACATTTTAATTTAGTAATTAGGTAACATTTATATAACAGTACTGTCCCTGTTGCATCTGAGCACTGCCTACATGCTCCACCTCCAACAAGGTGTGTTCCAATTGGTTTGTTCAGCATCAGCTGACATCAGTTACATAAGGCTCGTGATTGGAGGAAGCTAAGTTTGCAGAGGCAAGGTATGGGCCATTTTGTTCTCTCCTTGGCTTACTTCCATGTATAAGATGACCCTCAATTTTTAGTCTAAAGATTTTAGATAAAAGTATCATCTTATACACAGAAAAAGACAGTAATGTTGTATTATTTTTTGAAATCCTGCTGTATAATTAATCCCTGTGGAAACTGTTATGTAATTTATGCCTCATGGGCAGGGAATGATTTCTGTTAATAAAAAACATTCCATGTTTGCAGCTTTTCCAAATCCTGTGTCATTAATGTATTCACGAAGGCTTTCACTGCCGGGATCTAATGGTTGTTGTGGGTTTTTCGGGCTTTTTGGCCATGTTCTGAAGGTTGTTCTTCCTGACGTTTCATTACTTTCATAGCATGGAAGCTATAGAAGAGAAGAAATATTTAATTACTGAAAATCTCCCCTGGTAACAAAATCATCCTGCAGAAGAGATTTTTGATCATTAGAGGCATCTCTCTTCCATCTCATGGCTCCTTCAGCTTCCACACCATGAAAGGAATTATGGAACAAGTGGAGAAGGCATGGCACAGAAGCAGGCAGTTTTTAATTACTGAAATTTAATTTCTATCACATTTCACCTGTTATGCCTATCCATATTTTATATTTACAGCACCCAGTGTAAAAAACCTCAGTTTATTTCTGGTTTACACAACCTTTTATCACATTTTATTGACAATGTAACTGAAGGTACAAATGCCCTCTCTCCAGGTAGCATATAATGCTTATGACCAATTGCAGGTTATTATGTTGCCTTTGATATACTGCTTTTTTGAAAAAAAAAAATCTATGTACAGCAGCAGATAATGTGGTTAACCTCAATAATATGTTTCAACTTTTCCTTCTTATTATAATTAACTTCAAACAAGGCAGTCAGCACACTGCACCACCTACACCAACAGCCAAATCAACTTTTATTTTCAGCTGAAAATCTGTACTGCATCACATTCAATTTACAATTTACGTGGTCCATGCATTCTTCCCAATTTTGTATACAACTTTCATTTGTAATTCTACAGTGCTGGAGACACTTACACTTTCACTATTTTTGGTGTGAACAGCTTCAAAGGCACAGGTTTTTTCTTTTCACACACCAGTGGACAGTACTGCCCTTGGGCTTTCAGCTGCTTTAAAACATTTTCACACAGCTCCTGAAAATATCAAAAGATTCCACATTCAAAAGGCATTGGAATTATGAAAAACAAAACAAAAGTACAGGCAGAATATAATTTACATAAACTGATTCTGCAGTTGAAATAGCCCATGAAACTATGTAGAAGGCAATCTAATCCAGAGGAAGGAACACCTGGCCTCAGAGGACATTTTAATTTATTGGGGAAGGAAAAAAGATAAAATACAGAAAGCCGCAACATAATGCTTATACAATACTAGATTTAGAATTCAATAACAGAAAAGTCCTTCACATAATACATAACAAACATATTCTCCATCCTGATACATATCCTGATAAATGGAAAATAGGTCTATCAGGAATTAGTAGTCATTGGCTACAATAACTAAATCGCACTTCCAGGTTCAGACAGTTTATGCCACTGAATAGCAACTGATCAGGGGAAGCGCTAGTGCATTTATAATCTGCCAGTGGGCTTCAAAGAACTGTTTGCATGTTCACTGTGGAAACAAAAACTGATCTTTTGATCTGATCCGGCAAGGCTTTCTTATAAACCCATTGATATTTGAGTAATATTGAAGGCCACCTGAAAATTAGCTCAGCTACTTGCTCTTAAATGTTCTGTCAATCAGTGTTTTTACAGATTCAGATGCTGTTCACATCATTGTGATTCACTATCCAAGATGCTTTTCCCTGGGGTGGTAGCTTCCCTATATGTTTCTGTAGATTGCATCTCAAAAAGGTAACAATAAATCTTTACCTGCAGTTGTGGAGGGTACATCAGCGATACGTCTGTACTAAGGAGCTTTATAAATGGCTGCACTATTTCAAGGAAAGATGAGAGTGATCCATACAGAACTGCACATTTTTTAACCAGCTCTAGGCACAAGCTTAGGCAAGATAACCTGCAAAACAATTGTCAACAGCTATTTTTGAAGCATGCCTCTGTCAAAGAAAAAACAAAGTGTGCTGCATATAACTCTCTGGATGGTTTACAATTTATCGACCTTGGAAGGATGGAAGGATGAGTCAACCTTGAGCTGGCTATCTGAATCCATTGGGATTGAACTCAGGGCATGAGCAGAGTCTTGTCTGCAGTACTACAGTTTAACATCTGCACCATGAGGCTCCTCAATATTATGACACAGCTCTTTGTATTTAATACAGAATTCAAAATAGTTGCAGCATTAAATTATGAGAAAAGTCATGGCAATACGAGGGGGTGGTGATAAATATTACAACTTTCCCAGAAAAAAATGAGCTAGGGAGCTAAAAATTGCAGGGTGTATTGGCCAATTTGTCCAAGGGAAAGGTGCAAACAGATCCATGATGAAATGTCATAAACTATGGGTGACAGTGGCCCTTCATATGCAACAATTAAACGTTGGGTTGTCAATTTTTAAACTGGCCATTTCGGCGTTGAACGTGAGAAACCCAGTGGAAGGCCTGTTTCTGTCTCTGTGCCTGCAAATGTGAAAGATATCCATGACATGATCATGGAGGACCGCCGAATATCAGCTAAAAGTATTGCTATATATCTGAGAATATCACATGAGAGAGTTGGTGCCATTATCCACAACAACTTGGAAATGAGAAAACTGGCAGCAAAGTGGATCCCCAAACTTTTGACAACCAAACAAAAGAGGAAACATATGGAGTCATCAGTGGCCGTTTTGGAACATTTAGCAAGAAATGAGTCAGATATCCTGGGCAAACTGGTAACTGGTGATGAGACATGGATCTACTGTTATGATCCTGAGACAAAGGAACAGTCTAAGGAATGGAGGCACAGTGGTTCCCCCAGGCCAAAGAAGTTCCAAGTGCAAAGGTCAGTGCAGAAGCAAATGGCAACAGTTTTTTGAGATAAGAAGGGAGTTCTGCTGGTGGACTACCTCCAACAGGGTTCAACCATCAATGCAAAATATTACTGTGCTTTATTGACAAGGTTGAGGCAAAAAATCACGGAAAAACATCAAGGAAAGCTCTGGAAAGGTGTCATCCTCTTGCATGACAACGCCTCATCACACACTGCAGATGAAACAATGACAAAACTGACCTCCTTAGGCTTTCAAGTGATGCCCCATCCACCCTAATCTCCCGACCTGGCTCCTTCTGACTATGATGTTCCCCAAACTCAAAAAACACCTAAAGGGACAACGATTTGGGAGTGTTCCGGAGGCAACTAATGCTGCAACTGAGTGGTTACACCAGCAGTTGGAAGAGTTTTATTTGCAGGGACTTAAGAAGCTGCAGGACAGATGCCGTAAGTGCATTGACTTCTTGGGGGAATATGTAGAATGGTATGGCAGTTAAAGCTTCCTAGTTCATTTTTTTTCTGAGAAAGGCTCAATACTTATCAGCATTCCCTCATATTGCAGTCAGAAAAATTTTGAAGGAATTTTGAAAAAGAGAAAGTTTTCCCCCATCCGACCAGATGTCTTAGAATGCTTGCAGCTGATAAAGGGGGATATGCACATTACTGCATTTTAAATGCTGTTCTTCCTCTAAAAATCCAATAGGAGTACATATGTCCCACCACTGCAGTGTCCAGAAATGGATAGAGAAGTCAAGATGAGGCCCAACCAGTGCTGAAAGAGACAGGCACTAGTACCTCACAGGATTTGGAGGCTATACTTCTTTTAATGAAGCCTAAAATAGCATTAGCCTTTTTTGTAGCCACATCACAGTGTTGGCTCATATTCAGCTTGTGACCTACAACAATTCCAAGATCCATCTCACTTGTAGTATTGCTGAGCCAGGTATCTCCTATCTTGTAACTGTGCGTTTGGTTTCTTTGTCTGAGCTGCAGTACTTTGTACTTACCCTGTTGAATTTCATTCTATTGTTTTCAGCCCTGTGCTCAAGCCTATCTAGATCATTTTGAATTTTGTTTCAGTCTTCCAGGGTGTTAACTATTCCATCCAGTTTTGTGTCATTCACAAATTTGGTTAGCATTCCTTGTATTCCCTGATCCAGGTCATAAATAAAAATATTGAATAGCACAGGACCCAGGACTGAGCCCTTGGGTATCACACTTGTTACCTCCTTCCAGTTGAAGGAGGAGCCAATAATCATCACTCCCTGAGTACAATTCTGTAACCAACTGTGTACCCACCTGACACTTGATCTATCCAGCCCACACCTAGTTAACTTGCTAATCAAGATACCATGGGGCACTTTGTCAAGGTATTTTGTTGAGGTCAAGATATACCACGTCTACAGTATTCCCTCTGTCTTTAAGGGGGGGTTACCCAAGCAAGAAATGAGATCAGATTAGTCTTGCAGGATTTGTTCTTGATAAATCTGTGACTTCTAGATATTACTATTTTGTTTTCTACATGTTTGCATAGTGACTGCTTTATAATTGACTTCCAGACTCTCTTCTGATAAGGCAAACTCCCCCAAACTCTCTAGACCTGTTGTTGTCCGGTTGCAGAATGTAACCTTGAGACCCAGCAAGCAGTTCAGACTCCCGGGTTGCTCGCTTGGAGCTGGGATAGGAACTGCTTTTGAGGGCTTGTAAGAACAGCATCAACTAGTTTGTATAGCTAGTTTCTTGCACAGCTGCAGAACAGAGAAGCATGGATGTCTTCTGCACTGTTTGTAAATCTGGGAAACCGGTTGTTTAAAAAGCAGTGTTAACTTTTCATGAGGCATTTCTTCAGCTTTTGATTACAGTTGGACAAAGTCAAGAGCTTGGACAATGGGGGTGAGAAAGAAACAGCAGTAGAATGACATACCAAATTTTTCTGTTTATAACACGCCACTGTTTATAACACTTCCCCCTTTTCTAACCCCCAAATTCAGAAAACGTAACTTTGAGTATTCAGCCTCTGGGCTCAGAACGTTGGACATTACGATTCTGACCCTACAGGCTCCACCTCCAATGATGACGTCAGTTCTGTAAAGATCATGACTGGAGAAAACTAAGCCTCCTGACTAAAGGAAGCCTGTTTACAGAGGCAAGGCATGGACCATTTTGTCCTCTCCTCAGCTATCTCAGCTTACTTCTAGGTAAAAGACACCCCTCAATTTTTGGTATAATGATTTTAGGAAAAAGCAGCATCTTTTACACAGAAAAATACGGTACACTGTGTGAGAGAGAGACAAAAAATGAAGCAGCAGCAAAGTAAAAGATAAGAAAAATAGGATTAGCAAAGATTTCAAAGAAGTAGCAACAGCAGTTTTGATCTGTTAAGGATAGGACAATACAAGGAAAGCACCAGGATGAGGACCATTTCTTTAAAGAATCTGTATCGCATAATCTTTTCCTTTTTCGGCAACATGCAAGGAAGTACCTATCATTCCGAACAGCTATTCTCAACCTTTTTCCATGGCCATAAACACAATATGAATAAATATTGGCTGAATCAGGTTTCTGTAAGTTGCATAATGAAGCTTATAAGATGGTGAGTGAAGAATTGTTTCCAGCCTGTGGCCCCCTTCACAGATGCCAGGACCTCCTCAAGGGGCCATATGGCTCCTGTTGAGAATGGCTGCTTCTGGATACCTCCTAGCACCACCCAGACACTGGAAATATTTTCTAACAGGTTCAAAACACCTAATTGATTGGCCCAGAATACAATGCCTTTAATTGGTTTCTTGTGCAATTTACTTCCCCAGCATACCGAAGATGATTTACTTCTGTTCTGTTATTTTCTGTTGAGCTTGTCATAATGTGGAGTGAAAAACGTTGCTTTTGCCAGGTCTCTATGTCTGCTTTATCACAGACCACAAGCACGTCTGACTGTTTTCCTAGTGACGCAAAAGGATGTACCAAAGTAAGCCCTGGAAAAGAAGAATGTACACAAACAAATAATCTTCATACCAATGGCCATTAATTACATTTTTATCCTGCTTTCCCACTAGAAAATACTGCTCAAGGAAACTAATGAACTAAAAACCAATGAAAGAGGAGTGGTGGGTGAGAGGAGCATGTACCTTGTGGGGAATCACACCATAAAATTGTTACTTTTAGCTCTAGAGATGTAGAGATATCTGTAAAATGGGTATTTTTTCTCTCTCTATTATGTATTAGAAGTTTTTTCATGGTAGTTGCAAATGAATTAATGTGTGTTCATACTGTATCTATCATTTATATAAATGTTTCCTGTAAAACAGTGGTGCTTCGCATTATGATCGCTTCGTTTAACGACGAAATTGCATTACGATGAACTTTTTGCAATCGTTTTTGTGATCGCAAAACAATGTTTCCTATGGGAGAATTTCGCTTTGCGATGATCGGTTCCCTGCTTTGGGAACCGATTCTTCACAAACCTACGATTTTCCGACAGCTGATCGGCGGTTTCAAAATGGCCACTGGGTAAATAAAATGGCTCCCCGCTGTGTTTAGGGATGGATTCCTCGCAAGACAGGCAGTGAAAATGGCCGCCCTATGGAGGATTTTCGCTGGACTGTGAGTTTTAAGCCCATCGGAATGCATTAAACAGGTTTTAATGCGTTTCTATGGGCTTTTTAATTTCGCTTTACAATGTTTTTGTTCTACAGCAATTGCGCTGGAACGAATTAACATCGTAATGCGAGGCACCACTGTACAAAGAAAAAAAATGCTCAAGCTACTATTAACAGTAGATTCCAATGGAAATTATGGTTAAAATATTTTACATATCCAGATACACAGCAGTAGTATATGCTTCCTGCTTTTAAAAATTCCCTTTAAAGTTTAAGAGCAAATGAAATTGAAAGACAGTTGATGACATAGTTATTTTAAAACATCAAAAGCTTTATGAATTTTTAATATTTTCATTTAGCAGGAATGGAAGCCAAATCTATACCAATTTTATAGTTTTTAAAGTTCATATACAGCGAAGAAAAAAACACCTGGTATTTTTCAAGAAAGGCAACAATTTCTATAAATCATTTTCATGCTGATAGCATTTAGTTCTGGCACACAAACATGCACAACAAAAGTTCTACAAATATTTGACATTGCCATTATTTCAGATAAAACCATGGGAAGATGCAGGAAAGTGAAAAAGTGTTTGGCATCCTTCCACAAATTAAAGCCCACATTTCTACCTTGTACTTCTTTCTTAGGTGTAGCCATATGAAGAATTTTCAGGAGAAAATTGAGAAGCTCTGGGACAAATCTTTGAGACAGCGATATGTATTCCAGGAAGAGACAGCAAATAAATAATCCTTTCATAACATCTTGAACTGTTGTTACTGGGCACTAAACAAAACACATAAAAATACACACACACAATTACTAGACACAGAAAATCAAGTTTACATTCCAAACTCCTATTGGATATCTACATGTGCACAGGAGGAATTGTGGAAGTTGCTATGGTTAATTAACAAGGGGCTGGGTGCATGAACTCCCAGGCCTGTCATGTCACCAACTAGCCGAGGCAACTTCAGTGACTACTCTTGCACATGTATAAATATCCAATAGGATTCTGACATTAAGTGTCAAATATTGATTTTTCAGCACCTGCAAAGAAGGTTCTGTATTGTTTTAAACTATCTCTTCTCTTTAAATACACTTAAGCAGTAATATCCTTATCCTTTCTGAATTTTATTCCTTTATTTAAAACACTCCAGACTACCTTTTAGAATACAAGCATCTCAAAAGGATCACAAGATCAAAACAATAAAACACTAAGCATCTTACGTTATATTATAAAACAGCTGAACAATTCTGTATTACATGTCAGACTTTGTCTATCAATGTCTTTAAGCATGTGTGCTGTGACACCTAGGGGCACCTTGAAACCTGGCCAGAGGCATTGTGTAATCCACAGAATTGACCAGGCCTGCTTTTCTGCTTCCCAACACCTTTCCTCACGGGAAGGAGAGGGGCTCAATCCACCTCTGCACCCCAATACCCTTGGCAACGCCCACCTATGCTCTCTACGTGGGGCTTCCTTTGAGACTGCTGCGGAAGCTTCAAATGGTCCAGAACATGGTGGCCAGGCTATTAGCAGGGGTGAAAAGATTCCACCATATTTCCCCCACCCTGGCCACCTTACACTGGCTACCTATTCGCTTCCGCAACTATTTCAAGGTGCTGACTATTACATACAAAGCCCTAAACGGTTTAGGGCCTCAATACTTGGCAGAGCACCTTCTTCTGCCTAGTTGTGCCCATATCACCCATTCCATTCAGACTGGGCAGATGAGGGGCCTCATGCCAAGAGAGGCCCAAAGGGGAAAAAAACCCTAAAAACTGGGCCTTCTCGGCAGTGGCCCCTCATCTCTAGAATAATTTGCCTGCAGAGATCCGCCTGGCTCCCTTGCTGAGGGCCTTGAAGACATGGTTATACAGGAGGCCTTCCCTACAGCCATCACCTGGCCTATTTTTTTTTTTCCATCTTGGATTCTGCTGTTAATTTGGTTTGTGTCTTTAGCTCATTTATACCTTCTTAGTTTATTTTTTATATTTTGTGTAAACTGCCCAGAATATACAAGTTCTAGATGGGCTGTATATAAGTTTAATAAATAAATAAACATCACCATTGCCTCTGCTGTTTCAGCCCCATGTGGGCCCACTGCTGAGGGCTCTGCCTCTGCAGCTGCCACCATCACTGCACGCAGTCCTGCCTTATCTAGAGCCATGCTGGTGCCCAGCCCAGGTCCCACTGATCCGTTTGCAGGTCCCAGAGCTGGTCAGAGGGGCCAAGTGCAAAGGGCTCCCATGGGTCTGGGAGGGGAGGGGATGCCATCCTCTCATCAGCTGATGAGGGCAGGGCAGGCCAGGTAAGGAGAGCTCCCTGGGACCCCACGCGCTGCCTTCAACCTGGCCTCAGTTTCCTTTGATGCCCGTCTGTATTCCCCCCCTCCTTTCTCTTCTTCGCCCTCCTCCTTTCTTCGGATCCAAATCCTAGGTTCCCAATTTTTTTTTTACTTCTATGGAAGTACTATTTAGGCTGGGCATCCTCCCTTCTCCTCCCCATCGTCCAAAGTATCATATTGGGGAAGCTGCAGCCAGTGGCCTGTAAGTTAAGAGAGACATAAGTCAAAAAATTTGGGACCTACTGTCTTTAGGGTTAATACAGCTTTCACCTTCCAAGGCTCTTATGTCACATAGTACCGTCTTTTTCTGCTCCATCCTTCCTAAATTCTACACAAATTCTGCCCCATTTAGTCCCAAACACCTGCCAAGTACTTCCTCACACATTTATTAAGCCTAGTGATATAGACAGTTATCCAAGTTCAGCAGTGGAATTGCAGAAAATTACAATCTTTATGCCATTCTACTAAACACTTTCCACCCTGGCCATTAAAACTAAATAATACAGAAAGGTCTTACAGTGCTTTTGAAAGATGCTCAATATCCAAAGTTCTATCTCATGCCTTCTCATTGTGGAGATGATACAACCAAGCACATTATCTGGTTTCATATGCTATCTGTTCTTAAATAGTTTCAGCTTTACACATTTTAGCTATTTGCCTATTAGTTTTGAAAGTATGAAATTCCATGTTATGAAAGGTATCACTAACATACCTTTGTAAGTAGCTGGCTCATATAAACCAATGATGGTGTTACCACTGGATGCCAGAAATCAGACGTTGGAAAAAGTAGTGCAATAATTTTCAAATATATGAGCTGAAAGAAAGAAAGATTCACTGTCAAAACAACACCAATAGCTATATTACTATGTCCTTAACATGCTCAAAATCCTCATGCCCAATTCAGCATCAATTTAACACCCCTGGAGCTACACCTGTGGGGCCTGGTACAGTATCCAGTCATGTAATCATACAGAATGGGAAAGGGCAGAAGTATGACTCTTTCTCCATACCTAAAAGCTCCTGTTTTCATACAGAATGTTGTTATGGGAACATCATTCTGTATGAAAATGTACACCCATTTGAGGCCACTAAATATTCAAATAAATACGTGCCATGAAACATTACACACATACAACATTGATTTGCTAATGAGTCCAACTACTGTAACGCCATTTTCTTCTATGTACAAATGAGTTTTTGGATAGAAAGTGGCAGACGTAAGTACTGGTAGCTTCATGAATGGGAAACAGTATCAACAGAACAAGGCTCAGAAGAATGTTCAAGCACAGCTAAAAAGTATCATGGTTTAAGAGATTTTATTGTAACCTTTTGCAAAGTGACTCCAGTAAAATTAAGACAATATGTATGGATTTACAGTGCAAGATGGATCCAAGTTTTAATCTAGCTGATGATAATTACTGCCTTTCTGCAATATGCAATGCTCCCAGAATACTATATTTATAGTAAAAGAAATAATCTACTTAAAAGGAAGCCACAATATCCATTGATTTAATCTAGCTACATTGGAAGAAGCAGTGAGACAGGAAGCCTCTTCTCTCTTTGGAAGTCACTGGTTGCAATTCTGCTCCTCCTTATGCCAAATTATCTTCCTCAGCAACCATCTTGCAAATTTGCAGTAACTACAACTGAGTCCTGTAATGAAATGCCACAGCACAGCCTTCTCACCTACTAACTGGTACATTCCTGTTACAGCCAAGCAGTAAATGGCCTCTTACCTTTTTCCTACTGACACGCATTTATTGACATTATACATTTATTACATTTTATACTCTCCAAAGGACTCTAGGGTGTACATGGCTCTTCTTCTCACTTTCGGCATCACCACAACTCTGTGAAGTAGACTGGCCTGAGGAATTGGGACTCAAGAGTTAGACTGAACTGAGAGTTCTTCCCCCACTCATTTATTTTTCCGCTTTGTACTTCTGCAAACCTTGGGGTTTCTTTCAGTAGATATACATCATCTCACTATTTCTTGGCCTCATTTTGACTACTTTTGTTAACAATCACAATCTGAGTTTGAAGGACTGATGTAATATTATGTAAGAATTAGCTCCTGAATTGCTCATTTTCCTTCTCCCTGTTCATCCTTTCCTTGTATACCATGTTCATTAGATTGTACAAGTGAGACATAGAGCACAGTATGCCTACTTTATAAGAGGAGGATTTGGAACAGAAGCACTTATTCGGGATTCAGAAGGAAGCAGGTACTTAAAAAACTGTAGCACGCTTGATTACTGTCTGAAAAGCCTTCTAGAAATATAACAAATAAGTAAAATGAAACATACCATATCTAATCCTGGAAATAAAGCATGACTTTTCACTTCTTGAATTTTTTCCATTTCATGAACAGCATCTTGAAGGATGAATTTAATATTATCAGCTGCCGCTTTAGGGAACATCTGGCAAAGATCATATAAGGTCCTGTTAAAAAAAAGGTCATCAGTGTCAAACTGCATCACAGACATTAAAGACTGTTCCATCCCCCACCCAACTCCAGCAATACTAAACACTAGAATCAATTAGTCAAAATAGCAGCCTAATGTATATCCTTTCTCAGGTAGGGATCAGATCCTTAACTGTCACTATTCTTTGTCACTTGTTCAGTCGGCACTCTGTCTCTGCAAAATGAAACAGTTAACCAAACTTTTTGTCTTTATGCACATACACGTCAACAAGACAACTCTCTTAAACTGATACTGAACTAACAAAAAGAAATTTAACTGTATGCATAGAAGTTTCCACTGGCAAGAAGAGGGGTCAGTACAATGAAATATATGTGTGTCGCAGTCAACTCCCTTAAACATGTTGGAATAACGAGACACATTATTAAACTTACGGGATCAACTTGTCTATTGTTTTCAGGTCTGGTGGCTCCTTACGTGCCAGTTCCCCAACATATTCCAGAAGGAATTCAAACAGTTTCTATAGAATACAATTTGTAAGATAACTGGTAAATGAATTACTGAAGGCAAATTGTTTCACCCCCTTCATGTTTTCTCCCAAACTCTTCTTTCAACGATGTGTTTAATCACAAAAGCATACCTCTAACTTAGCTTTGTTTCCAACTGCAAGGCTTGGATGATTGGATTTCTGAATTCTCTCTATCACAAGAAGCTGCTCATCTATTGATCTTTCCAACAACAATGCCTTCAGTTGCTCATAAGATTCTGGAGCTATTGTAATAAAGAAAAACATCTGGTAAACTTTCACATAATATGGTTGAAAGTTCTGACCTATGATTATTAGAGAAGGATTAAAATATGTACTGTAAATGCCTTCAGAACAATGGGGTTGCCAATATTATGACTAGTATCTTTTGCTCTTGTTATTTATGTTTAGGTGAGCTATAAAAGCCCATTGAAAGCTTTGATTACAGTAATTTAAAACAGACAGTAAACCTATCCATGTATAATTCTGCTATAGATACATAATTTAGATAGTTGCAAAAGGTTTAAGTAGGACAGATATCATGCAGTGTGATGAGATACTTATCAAACCTAGAGCTATACCCCCCTTATATCAGTACCTGTAAATAAGGTATTTTACTACTGTTCAGGAAAAGTGGCCAGAATCTTATTACTTATCTCACGAGCATACATTTGGGCAGTAAATTACTGACAGTTAAGAAGCTGAAACTTGCATTTCTTGCCATGTCTTAAGTCACATGATTTTGCTTTTTTTTAGTCTTTAAGTCGTGTCCGACTCTTCATGACCCCAGGGACCAGAGCACGCCAAGCCCTCCTGTCTTCCACTGCCTCCCAGAGTTGGGTCAAATTCATGTTGGCAGCTTCGATGACACCATCTCGTCCTCTGTCGTCCCATGATTAGTGCAGAACAAAAGATACAAGTGCCAATTTCTTAACTGGTAGCAATTTACCACTGAGATTTACAATGCTGGAGTGTTCAAAAAGGTGGTAAACTTATGCTGTAAACATAAGTAACAAAATTCTGGCTATTGTTCGAAAAACTCACAAATATGTTATATAATTAGATAAATGCAGATTCCATCCAAATATTTATTACATTTGGACGCCTCTGAGAAAGGCAACATTATAAAACGGAGCAGGTATTTCTGGCATAATATACAAGAAGATGTGTAACCCGACTGTTTACTAGAGGAATTTTTCTATTTCATTAAATACATGAAAAGTGACACAAAATAGTAGTTGTGGTTGTAATTTTAAAAACTATTGTAAATTATCTACCTTTTTTAAGAATACAGTTTTACCACCTTTTTTAACACACACACACACACACATACACACACACAGAGATATATATATGAGACGCTACAGCTCCTCCACAGGATACATTTTAGCCAGTGGCGATACTGCACTGCTGCTCTAAATCTCTCCTCCTGCCTGCTGCAAATACTAGCTGCCTCCTCCCTCCTGTTAAAATTAACAAATACCATCATCCAGTTAATGTATCCCAAACACTGCATGATTATTCTGTTGTCCCATCCTCTGGACATTAGCCCATTTCAAGTATTTCGATGGAATACAAGGCTGTTTAAAGAAGCAAGGATTTTACATCCTATTTAGCAGAGGTTATATATTAATCAGAAAAATTCATAAGCACTGAAAATATTATCAGTAAATTTCCTTTGATTTGTTTGCTAGATGGTGCTGCACTCTGGAGGTGACCTCGTTTAAGACCAATATGAGGCAGAGTCTATAATGAAAAAACAGAACTGGCTGGACTGGGATGCTCCTCCCATTTTCTATCTCCATACAGCCAATTTTTATAGATTGTAGCTAAACAGAATTTTTAAATATTGTGAAATTACAATAAATAAAATATCCAAAGCAAAGATAGCAAGTCATGAACAACTCTGCTGAACAAGTAGCAGAACCAATAGTTATAGAATTGTGTTTGCCCTCTTGGTGCCTATTCAATGATCCAAATGTTGGGAGTGTTATAAAAATAACAGCTGATTACCTCAGAGGAGAAAGAGAATATCTGGATTTTATTTTCTTCAAAATAAAGCTTCACCGGAAGCATAATCTTCACGGCTATTCTACAAATCTTTTCCTGAGAAAGCTTAAGTTCCTTCAAATTAGTTGTCAGAATGAATTCTAGTGCAGATTCCTCAAGGTTTGCCCAAGGACTGCAAAAAATAGGTCACCCTCACCCTTAGATTATAATGCAGTGAGGTTTTGAGTTGTACTTAAGAAGCCCCAGGTGTCTGGGCAACAGAAGTAGGTCCCTTGGCACTATCCCCTTCTCCAGAAGCGTCTTCACTGTTCAGAGAAGAGTGACTGAATGTCAAGTCAGGGAGCACAAAGACTGCTGGATAAGAAGGCAACTTGGACCTAACAGCAGGAATTCACATGTGGGGGCAGACTTCTACACTCCATGATAATCTCGACTAGTGATCCTTACAATTCAATATTCTCTAATAAGACAGGTGGCTACAAAGTGTTGGGCGGTGTCTGTACATACAGATGCCAGAAACATCCCTCAGCACAAGACTCAGGTGCTGAATAACAAACTGGTCCAGGATGCAGGTGACCTTCTGTGCTGTTGATCAAAGCCGTATGGCTTGGCAATCCTAGCCAGAACCCAAGAAGGCCATAGAAGCACTGCCTCTCAAAAGCCCACTCCCACTATCTTCCTACCACTAACCATGAATCCACCTCTCTTGAGCAGCAGACTCATCAGGTCAGCCTCTTTCTACACTTCCAGGAAGAGTTACATCATTTAATGGGTTGTGTCTAAGAGGGGTGTAGTGGACTCCTCCAACTTGGACATACTGTATGTACACGATACAATTACAACAACCAACCTGAATTTTTGGGCCAGTAGTGCTGCATAACCACTCCTTAAACTATCTATACTTCTGAAAATCTTTGCGATTTGCCCCAGACTCTGCATGTGCCTTATTTCAGCTTCAGAAAGAAGAAAAAAGTACTTTGTAAGAAAGGAAATGTCTGTCATCTTTATCAAGGAGGAACCCATCTGCCAAATCATCAGCGGATATGTGCTTGCCACTCTTTTTGACTTCTGGTTCGTCTTTTCCATGCATTCGACGTATTCGGTCAGCCTGCAATATAAAATACATTCAGGACAACAGAATATGTCAACATCTTAATTAAGTTTATTACTTCAACATATGGATAGATATATATTACATCACACATAACATTTGTTAACCATTTGTCTATTACACTTATATCATGTTGTTACTCTAAATAAAGAAACAAA